AGGAATGCTCACCAAGCATACAGGAATTTTCAGTAGGAAAGAATGATCAACTACAGGTTGCTGCACAATCTTGGAGTGTGGTTCAAAAGCACTTTCAAATAGATCCAATTCTTTGCAAAACATGATTTGCTGTCCATTGTTTTCCAGGTGGTGTTTAAAAGCTGGTTTTGGCCTAGGAAACCCGAAATAGCACACAACTTCTTGTTACAGGACTCAGCTTGTCTCACCTTCCTCATCCCCATGCCCAGAGTTATGCTGGGATTCAGAATCCTGGGTATGGAGAGTCTTGTCGGGTTCTGGCAGAAGAGAAATCCCATCTATGAGCTCATCAACTCCATCCAGGATATCATTAGCGCACAGCTGAAAACAGAAAGCACAATGCTAGGCATTATATGAAGGCAGCCCAGAGTATACAAGGAACAAGAAATCTGAATGAAGAAACTTTTTTCTGTACAGAGCATAAATTAGCTTGGTGGGCACCTACATGCAAAAGCCACACCGTGCAGACCTTGGCAAGTCCCTGGGTGCAGGCACCAGAGCAAAAAACATGGATTTTTAGCACTTTATTTAGCACTACAGAAAACTCTCTGCAACCAACACCAGAGTGACTTACATACCCTCTGCAGTTGGGAATCCACCCGCCACATCCTCAGGGTCTGGTCACGAGACCATGTGACTAGCTGGTAGTCTTTGGAGCCTAAGAGAGAAAATAAATTTCTAAAACTCACTGAAAATGGGTTTACCTCCTTCACCCTGCGTACTGTACAAGTGGATTAAATCAAGCAGAGGGCTGAATTGAAAGTCAGGATTTACACGTTTTATTTCCATCTTTGCCACTGACCTGTTGGGCTATCAAAGACAAGTTACGTTGCTATCCTTCTCTGCAATTCAGTTTCCCTATTTGTACAACAGGGGTTAGATTTTCAGATGAGAAATGCAGAGCAAATAAAGTTTTCAAATGGGAAATGAACACATTTTCCTATGAAGCATTTGTTTTCAAAGGGACACTCGTCATGTATCTGAAAATTAAATGAACAGCTTCAAAAGGTGAACAGTAAAATAGAAAAAAAAATATTTTAGCCAATTGCATCTCCTTTATGTAGAAAAAAGATTTAGCTTTCTGTGACATTAGGAATAAATATTAGGTCCCAGTTTTCCATTCCCACCCCCTCCACCCCAACCCTTGAAACAACTTTGGCAATCCCTGTAGGACCTGGATAGTAACACTGTACCTTCAAGCTGGAATATTATGTTCATGTGTTGGACATCTATAACAAGAGCTTCCCTAAATAAAAGGTAGCTCCAAGTTTGCCTAACTATTGTAAAAACTGATTTAGTTACACAGTGTAACAGTGTCTAGATATTCTTAAATAGCTTTAAAGTCACCTTGTAATTGGTTTAGATTTTGCCTATAGGGTTAAGATGTGGACATGTAAACAAGAGTTACTGTGAGGTAAAGAAGGCTGGGGCTTTTACATCACCCGTTATGCAGTTGTCTAAGGACACACATTGGTTTGAACCTTCTGACACTGATAACTAAAGCACTTTAATTGCCCCAGTTTAATGAAAGCTGTAATTTTAAACTGCTCTAGTTAAATCAGCACAATTCATATAGATTGAGTGAGGTGAAATGAATACGCATATATAAAAATACACCTTCGTACAGTACTTTGTAGATATCAAAAGGAAGTCAGTTCCAATATCCCAATTTTCCTGAAAGGGAAACTGAGGCACAGAGAAGTAAGTGGCAGGCCACAGACAGAACAGTCACCTTGATTTTTGCCCAGTGCATTTGGATCTAGTTCAAATAGGTGCAATGGTTTAACAGCCACGTCTCAGCACTGTGCAATGAGGCACACTTCAGTAGTTATTGCACATAAATGACAGCTCCATAAATACAGGATAGGAGGCAGAGCACTTAGAGGTCTTGCTCTCACCTTCCTTCTGTTTTCGCCACTGAAACTCCAAAACTACATCATCATGTCCCACAAAAGTGTGGACTGGTGTGTTCAGGTCAAAAACATTCCAAAGGAGGAGGCTGTTTTCCCGCCGGAGTTGGGGAACCATCACGGTCACCAGCCCACTGCTGAAAGGCTGAAAAAGAAACACATTTCACTGCAAGCAATGTTTAGCGTAAGGTTTCACTATCACATACTGCCTTAATTGTACTCTCTGACCGTTTCCCTTTCATGCTGACACCAGAGTCCAAGTCTGCCACATACTGACTTTAAATGAGACTGTGAGAGCTCAGGACTACACAGGATCAAATCCTAAAAATGAGGTTGTCAAAAGGCTGAACTATATGTATAAATTAACAGTGGCTGATGCACAAGGAGCCATACTATGCTTAAGGGAGACATTCAAAACAGCTCTTCTTGATGTTTTTACTAACCCAACTTTTCACAAGTGACACAGAAAGGAGTATTTATACATTTATTCTTCATTCAGAAATCCAGCTATTCTTTGGCAATTTTCTCAGATGGCATGCTTATGCTTAAAGCAGGGGAGTATCACTGTAACGGTCTTGGAAACCAACAGCTGGTCAGAACTCCAATGCTGCAAAGAAGCATTGAAATCCAACTCTCATGAACATACATGCCATAGATAGGTAGACAAATGTGGAGCCAACATCAAAGTGGGAGTGGTACTAAATGTCTCATCTTCTGATATAAGAGCAAGATGGTGGGTACAACCCAATGACAGAGCTAAGGAACAAATTTTGCAATTTCAAGCAAAAGCACCTCAAAACTAAAAAGAGAACACAACACATTTTTAGCTATGTAATTTTCCTGTGTGGCATAAGTGACAGATGCAGCAGAGCAAAAGTATGGAGCAGATAAGGCTGCAGAATGTTCTTTAACTTTTAGATTCCAATAAAAAAATCCATCTGTGGAGTTTTGCTGGGGGACTGCACAGAAGACTTAAAGCTTGACTTCATTAGTCACCACTACCCCAGAGCCTTTTTGTCACCAAAAACTCTTTCCAAATCCTAATACTTAGTGCTGTAGGTCATGTTTTAAAGTTACATAAGTAATATCTAGCAGCAAAGGCAGTGAGAATGGTTCCAAATGACAGTCCTTTCAGTTAGGATTCTTTTTAAGTTCCCTTCTCACACACTGTTAGGTAGGAAGACTGGCATTTCATATTTACCGTGTATCTTGCCTTCCAGACTGGAACCTGGCAGGAGAGGATATTGAGGTATTTCCGAGGCTGACGGTAATCCCAGAACTTCAACAAAGCGGAAGAAAAGCCAAGTCAGCTCTATACTCTAGGCTTTTTTCCATGCAGCTCACTCCCACCCCAGACAAACTCTAGGATGCCACACAGGATAGTTAGAAACACCATAAAATTAAGAGCTTGTCCCAAAAGGGAGGGATATCAGGCTGTCAGCATTTGATAGCATTTTTAGATCCATAAAGCTACTCAAAGTATGCATGTGCAGAAAGATGGAGGTGCAATTGTAGCATTGGTAGGCATACAGGTGTTAAGTTTTAATTTAGCTATCAGAAGCAAGAATGGCAATAAAAAAGGACAGCATGGACAGACCAGCAACCAACTAACCCTAACCCAAATACATTCACAGGGGAACTTGATTATATGCTTGAGCTGCCAGTTCAGCCTGAAGCTTGAGGTGCCATACTTTCTTTGCTTTTGTCAGCTGTGCTAGTTAGAATATAGCTAGCACAGGCATGTTTGCCTTCACTACAATCACACCTTAATTTGTAGTGCAGACACCTTCAGAGACAATATGCACACAGACTGGCAGAAGGCTCACCACTACAGGTAATGCTCTTAAGCCATGCTCCAGTTCTTATCTGTGTCAATGAATAGACTGCCTGTCACTTCTGCAGAAGGTGCATCAGACCTTCTGAACATCACTGTTAAACCTACTATAACAGCCTTTCAAAACAGGAAGCCTGGAAACTGAACATCACATACTTACCCGGACAGAGTTGTCCTGGCTAGAGGTAGCCAGGGTATACTCATTGTCTGGATGCCAATCTAGGCCATGGATTTTATAAAGATGAGCTGCCAAGTACTCAACTGCAGTGTTGGGTTTCTGCAAGAAGAGGAAGAATATATTTTCTTTTCAAACACATTTGTTCTTAGGAATAAAGGAATCTGGCCTGATTTTGACCATGGAGGAGGGAGTGCTCTCCACTTTTAACTCTTTAGACATCCTGAGCTAGAGGAATGTTGAGCAGCAATAAATGGGAAGGCAAAAGAAAAAAAAAAAGAGATTATTGAGAAATTGTTAAAATTAGAGGGGACCACGCTCAACAGCAGGATAATGAAGCAGAGTTCCCTAACAGGTTTGGACATGAAAGAAGATTAAATGAGCTGTAAAACTTACTCCAGAAGAGACTGGAGAGCCAGAACCCTCTCTTTATCATCCTGTCAGGGCATGAGGTGTGTGGAATGGTTTCTGCTGTCCCCAGTTTGCAGCGCAGTGGTCAGTATTTGGCTATCCCTTGCTTCTGGGCTTTGTCAGTTGTTATATCGAGCCAGAAAGGATTTTTTCCCTGTCTGTTGCTAAGAGTATCAGGGATTTCCCCCCCACCCCAGCATGGTCCTCAGAACAATGGTTGTTAGCTGCAGTCAAGCCTGGAGATTAACTGGGTTATGCTGATGCTCCTGCTGAGACTAAAAACCCCCAAAGTTCTTGGCTAAAGGATCTTGCTCCACTACACAAGTTATAACTGATGGCTGCACTTGGGATCAGAAGGGAATACTACCCCACATACCATGTGAATCTGACTGTGGGAAGGGGTTGTTTTCTCTAGCAGGAAGCATGCTCCTCTTCTCTGGATCTACTGAGCATATTTAAGAGCTACTTCCTTTTCTTGCAGTGGTGAGATAGTTAGTGTCCTTGTTCCCCTGCTTTACCTGGGGCAAGCTACAGTGGTTTTGATGTTTTGAGCATTGTGCTGATATTTGTAGAAGAGGGTTGATCACAAAGATGAAGAGCAGGTCAGATGAACACTCATCCAGATGACTTCCTGAATACCCTTCCAGCCCCAGTTTTCTATGATTCAATGAAGTGGTAAAAATATGTATTCAAACCTCACTTCACAGGGAGTAGAGGCATTTTATATATGATGCTAGTAGCATCCATCACAAAACTAAAAGCAACATACTAAAGAGTATGGCTTTCCCTCTTCCTAAAAGAAATTACACATTTTTCTCTCAGACTTCCACCTCCTGGACTGTCACTAGCATTGCATCTACCTTACAACTGACCATTAACAGTTATGGGAGACAAAGCACCAAGGAGAAGAGATGTGGCTTACTTAAGTGTGTCCAGAGACATGCCTTGATCCTAGAAGCAGGAATACACAGAAATCAAAGGAGAAAAGTTAACTCACCCGTTTGTCCCATATACGAACATCTCCATCATGGCTGGTTGCTAAACAGTTTGCATTTTTCTTGTTCCATTTGACCTGGGAAGCTCCAGCTGCAACAGAAGCAGAACATAAAAGGGGTCAGACAGCTTCTACAAATAGTTTAAAGTTAACTGGACAAGACAGAAGGCCATCAAATCCATGGCAGTAGTGCAGCATCTGAGATTATTTGTGATGTTTTGTGTTGGCACAGAAAATACAACTGACAGGAGATGCATCACATAAGTCAGCGTGAAAAATGATGGTGAGGCATTGCATGAGCAGGGAGCAAACAAAGTTAGAACACTGCTATTGTGTGTGTGTGTGTGTGGGGGGGGGGGAAAGAGACAGACTTAGCTGTGGCATTGAGTTTTAACTTCCAGCCACTAGTCAGACCTGCTGATGGAAATGCTCAAATCTATCAGCTCAGTAGAGGAAGCTACTGTCTATCCCAGAATTGTAGCTTCTGCATCTCTCAACTTCAACTCTCTCTCAGCCTGGTACATCATGATTAACCTAATTCCCACACACTATCATGTACCAGTAGCATACCCTAGAGATTGAACTTCAGTTATATGATTCTTAACAATCAGTAATGGTCTTCTGACGGCTAGGGTGAATGCTGAACATTTGAATTGTAACCAATGAACTGGATGTGTGCAATGCAGACAATTCTTTGGTGGAACAGAATAGGAGTTAGGTGTGGAGATGGGGTGCTGGGGAGCCCAAACACGTTTAGGGAGAAGAGTGTGAGTTGGGGTCGACATGGATTTAAGTGCTGGCTTTACTGATTAACTTCTTGCTTCTGAAAGACTGCATTGCTAGGAAATGCACTGGAGTACCCTTGACTCTTGCTTTGGGTTTGACTGGGATTCTAATAAAAGGCTCAAGCAATGACTTGAGTTCCTAGACCTCAAAACTGACAGATTAAGGGAGGATGGAAATGACATTTTGAAAATGGACTGGAATACCAGATGCATCTTATTACACTATCTTTCTTAGTGTTGATCACAAAACCTGCTGTGCAGCAGATGTTCACAGCTACAGAAAGGACACAGAGGATGTCTTAGCTGTAGAAAGCAAGCTGTTGCATGAGACAATGCAGGTGATCTAGCACCATCTTATAAACCTCTTGCTTGAAGGGTGAAAACTAGGGCTTACAAATGATTAAAAAAAAAAAAAGTGATTGCAATTAGTTGCGTGATTAAAGAAATTAGTTGCACTTGATCACAATTTTAATCACACAACTAAGATCTCAAAATTATGCAGATACTTTGTATGGTTGGTGTGTGGGTGTGTGTGTGTGTGTGCGCGTGCGTGCACGTGTAGAAAATTTGTGAAGGTGTGGGGGGGCCTGGGTGTGTGTTGGGGGGAGGGGTTTGGAGCTTGGGGTGGAGGGGTCCATACACACCCTGGCAGGATGCAGGGTACTATGGGTCAGGAGTGAGGGATAAATGCACACACAGACACAACACACACACACACACACACACACACACAGTGCCCAACAGGTAAGTCTGTGCAGGGAAGGGGCAGGGGGAAGGGAAGGGGCAGAGGGCAGATTGAGGCCCCCAGTCAGGGAGGGATTGGGACAGGGGCGGGTCATGGGACAGCCACAGGAGGCTTGTTCAGGGGTGCGTGGGGGGAGGGTGGGCACAGTTCCCTGGCACTGCATGCACCCCCTAGTGGAGGCATGGGGGGGGCACGTGCCTCCCGGATTTGTGGGTAAAGCAAAAGCAGGCTGCCCACTGTGGGCTGGGGCTCTGTGCCTTGCTGCCTTTGCCTCGGGAACTGCATAACACCATGTTGTGCCTCCTGCAACTGGGTGGGCAGGGAACGTGTGGTGCAGGCAGCACAGCTTCCAGGGCAAAGGCAGCAGGGTGTAGAGTCCCAGCCCGCAATGGGCAGCATGCCTCTGCTCTGCGCACAAATCCACAGGGGGTATGTACCCCCCATGCCTCCCCCAGGGGTAGGCGCAGCGGCAGAGAGTGCCCTCTTCCCCGCCCCCGGATAAGCCTCCATTTTCACAACCCACCCCAGCCCCGAGGCCCATTCACCCCAGCCCCTGCCCCACTCCCTCCATCACCGTGGGGCTTCAATCTGCCCCTCCCCCCTTCCCTCCCCAGACTTACCTGCAGGGTGCTGCTGTACACACCAGCAGGCTGTCTTTCTGGTTGCGTGTTGCCTGTGGCTGCTCGTGTGTGTTTCTGTGCATGCATATGCCCCTCCCCCTTGCTGCAGCCACCTGGAGCCCACGCACGCGGGTTGCCCTGCAGCTCCTCTGCATTGCCATTGCTGCCCTGCTGGGCAGTCTGTAGGTGGCAGTGATGGCAGCAGAGCAGAGCCCGTGCATGGGCTCCAAAGCCATGTGTACGATTAATGCGTTAAATCGTGCGTGTCAGAGATTAAATTGACAGCCCTAGTGAAAATGGTTTGCTCCCTACAAACACTAGAAGAAGCATAAATTGGGGCAAACATGAAGAAAACTAGACTGAGGAGACCTTTTCCTGTGGTTCCTCTCTTTTCCCTTTATCCATAGAGAGATTAGGATCTTACAAAGAAGGGATACTACCAGTTACATAGGTTTTTTTTTTTCTTTTTAACTGAAAAAGTGTGTTCAGTTATGAAAGTTTCAGATGCTTAGAAAAATTGTACAAAACTGTATCAGATCCTTTTCTCCTTTCTTTGATCATCGTGAAGCCCCTTTGAAACATACTAGAAAACAACTCTTCAATATCTCTACACTCCAGCACCACAGGTGTAAACACAGCATGCTGCTCTGGTTCAAGAGGTACATGCCACTATAGAAGATTAATGGTCTGAGGATAAGGCCATTGCAGGGATGTAGTTTGAAAGGAATGCTTGAAGGGGAACGCATACATGCTAAGGGGATTAACATGGCAGAAGGAACAGTAACCCAAATAATGTTTTTAATTTGCTCACATGCATTTACAGTATCAATCATTTGTGATTGTACATGTGCAGTAACATTCAGAGACAGCCACAGTAGGTTACATTTAAGATGGTGGATGGAGACTAACAGTGCTAGGAGTACCCTTCCTGAAGGAGGTACTGACAGATCATACCAGAGACGGAAAATTGTGGCCCAGAAAAAGGACATGCATGTCATAATTTCAGTTTCCCAGTAAGTTTAATGTGTGTCAGGAAAGCATGATATTGCATGCGATTATAGCTAATCCTCCTCTCAGCAAGAAGGCAGGGTTGGCAAGTTGGCAGCACTCCAACAACACTGTCAAAGGTGACTGGCAGGCTACTCCTCCAATGCATAAAAACAGTGAACACCTGTAGAACTTCCTTTAGCTCAGCAGGCACCTGCTAAGTGAATGCAGACCAGTCACTCAGGGCCTTCTTGCCCAGCCACTACTATCACTCCTTTCCTGCTTCTTTTCCCATATTCATGGCCCACCATATCCCTCCCCTCCCCCACCCCACCCCAGGACTAATCTATCTCTGGAAAGTGGTAGGATGCAATCTGAGACCTCTTATTTTCATATTTTACATACTTTGCCTGTATTAAACAGCTTTCTCTGGAAAGACCCATCTAAGTAACTCTGCCCAATAAACAGAAAGACTGCTACAGAAGTAGAATAGCAGGTGGATAAGAAACTGCAGGTAAGTGTTATACCTGTAACATGAATGGTACTTACCAACTGCAGAAAGCGAGACTGTAGGTTTTCTCGTGTCTCTGAAACACAACATTAGTAATGAGCATACACTCTTCTCCTAGCCTGGATCCATTCCCTTAACCCAAGGAAAGGCTTTTATAATTAAGAACTGACCTAATTGCTGTCTCTTTGGTCTTTTTTTTTTTTTAAATAAGCAGAAGACAGGTTTCCAAGCATACTGAAATTTTCTCACATAAGTGAGATAGCAAACAGGTTACTATACAGGCCATAAATCATTATATGGTAAAAATGCAGGCCAGAAGAAAGTGTTAAACAGCATAAGAAGAAATGGCGCCCAGTCTTCTTTGATTTTGGAAGAGGCAGGAAAAAAAAAAAGGTTGCTTGGTGTTCTTTAGTGATGCCTGATAGCAACACAACTGCTTCATTCACCATGTGTTACTGGAGAAAATAAAATATTTCCCAAGAGGATGCAGCAGTATATGCAGAAAGTTATAGAAAAAAAAAACCAGGCAACCATCGATCTGTTTGTAAAGCCTCTGCAGACTTCCACTTAAGGTGGAATAGTAACTTCAGAATAAAGAAGCTGTGTCCAGGGTATTAGGAGGAAACAATAGCTGGACAAAGTCTAAAGGACAACTGCTGAGCTGGTACTAGTCACTGTACTATGGCAATTTACAGCAACAGAGGATCTGATCTTATGGATTGAACTTACTCCCCACAGAGCTGGTCAGGAAATTATTTTTCTTTCTATTAAAAGTCAACAAAAGCAAATGTTAAAACTTCATATTAAAAAGTTTTCTTTCAATTTATTGATAGTCCTAAAATTGAGAGACTTAATGAAAATGTGTTTTTCCAAAAATCTACTGTTGAATCAGAAATCCATTCCTATTAAAAAGGTTTGATAAGAAACCATTTCTAATCCTGGTGCTATGCATTCCTGGTACTGCTAGGGAAGTTGCCAGTTTAACAGGTGACCCTGTTAGAGGTCAGACTGATGATGATGACCCATTGCACAAAAAGACAACAAAGATCTCACCATGAATAATGTGGTCCAGGAGCAGTTTAAAAATCAGCCTGGTGATATCAAAAGGTCTCCTTAGCAACTGTCTCTAGACAGGTGATACACAGGAAAGATCGTGCTAAAGAGCATGTTTATGGCAGAGGCTTTTGGTTTACTCACGAAATAAAACTGGTCAGTTTTTGTCTTTTAATGTCTTAGCCTCACGAAGGGTTTTTGAACCCGAAAGCTTGCTTAATAACTATCCTCCAACTATTTGGGTTGGTCTAATAAAAGATATCAGATTCACCCAAGGAACCTTGTCTGCCTATGTCCTTAGACCAACACGGCTACAACCTACACTCCTGTCTTTTAATGATGCATTAACATATTACTCTTTTGAGTTTAAGACCAGATGCTTCAGAACATTCCACACATTAAGTAAGCCTCAAGACACCCTAGTGAATTGAAAAAATATCATTAGACTATTGACTATTAAAGTTGATAGGAGGCAGCATAGAGCAGTGAAGCGACTTGCCAAAAGGGAGTCAACTGCAGAGCCAAAATAAAACTCAGTTCCTCCATAACCTCATTTAGGTATTCCCTTATATACTCTCCTGGGCTTAGACTAACTGTTGTTAAGGCAAAAGTGGACCTGCAGGCAGCAATTCCTTCCATTTCAAGCAGTCAGGGTTATTCATGATATAGATCAAATATAGAGTTACAAATAAGAAAAGCAGGCTGAACCCCAACAGGCCTTATATTCTTGAGGGATAGTCAACAGCAATCATTGACCTTGCCTGGTGGGGTAGGAGAACAGTAGGGCTGTGCGAAATCCCTGCGTTTCACCTGTTTTGGATTTGGCATTTCGATGCGACAGCAGTTCATTTCAGCATTTTGAATCACTGTTTTGTTTTGGTACTGTTTTGGCCATAGGCTATCATGGGGAATGACTAAAATGCCTATAAAACTTTGTCATTTTTTGTCTGATTCTGATGAAAACTGCAGGAATGGTAGCCCCTTCTGAAGGCATGAATCCTGACAGGTTTCAAGGAGATAGATGCAGGGGGTTCTGGGAAACTGCACTAGGTCATGGAGTAGGGTCCCTAGAGATGGCCGTGATACCCCTAGGGCCCTGTGACCATGCCAGCTCTACCCTGAGGGTGCCTGCTCTTCTCACCTGCTGCCACGTTTTGTTGGAAAGATAATAGGGAAGCTGCCCCCGAGCTTCCGCTCAGTCATGGTCCTAATGGACCCCACTAAACCTTGTAGGTAAGGAGTGGGCAAAATACAGCCTGGGGGCTGGATCCAGCCCGTGGGGCCCCTAAAAAATTTAGAAAATTAATATTTATTTGCTCCTGGCTGCCCGTCAAAGATGACAGGAGCCAGGGCAGTAGGATCCAGGGGAAGCTGGTGGCAGGACCCAGTACCTCTCCACTTTTGCCTGTGCTTTCCTCTCCCCTCCCCCCAAGCCTGTCCCTCACCTCCTGATGCCTCCATTTAAATTTTCATTGGCTAGCTTTCTTGTCTCCATTGCATGCCAGCCTCTGGCTTCTTTACTATTCTTTCCTTCCAGGAAAAACATGCACACCAACTGCAGATGCTTCCTCAGCCTGACAAAGGGTTTTTCAACCTGAAAGCTTGCTAAGATATATTTCTCCAACTATTCAGTCGGTGTACTAAAAGATATTGGATTGACCCAAAGAACTTTGTCTGCCTGATGTGCGATTCCACAGCTCCATATCTCCCCTACACTATGGCCTGTGCTTCACAGATGGCATCTCAGGCAGCTAAGCTGAGCTCACCTGGAGCCTCACAACTACACTGCAACCAGCAAGCCCCAGGCCTCTCAAAGATCTTAGGGGTCTGGGCTTTCTCCAGTCAGGATTGTGCGTGCATGTGGTGGCTGGCAGTTATAAGGTGCCTCCTACCTGCCTTTTGCCAGGGAGGTCCTTGGTCCTGGCATTTCTTGGGGGCTGCCGTGCCACTGGCAGTCCCACCAGGCCTCTCAACCCTGGCAGGATACAATTTTAGGTCATGCCCAGGACCTAGGGGCTCCTCCTTCCCCACAGCCTCAGTCCATACCTCCAAGTTCATCCTGGCACGGGAGCTCAGAAGGGACATGTTTTTCTCCTGTTGGCTGGTGATGCAATGAGTGCCGCCTCCAGCTCAGAGAGCAGGGCATTAAATGGTTCAGAAACCAGAAACTATATTAATATTATAGTTTTAATATTCTGCTCCTCACTGCCTGTCAAAGATCACTGGAGTCAGGGGCAGTAGGACCCAGGATAAGCCAGGAGGGCTTGCCAGCAAGGCCAGCCCGGCCCTGCCCCTCCCCATCCCCAGTCCCCCCAATTGGAAATCTGTGCCTGCTGCAGCTTTCCCGGAACACGACTGCATCACCTGACTGCGGGGCTGCACTGGTACCCCAGGGCCAGGAGCAGGAGGGGGGGCAGGTGTGTGTCTGTCTGTCCGTCCATGTAACGGGGCTAAGAGAGACTCTGTGTGTGTGTGTGTGTGTGTGTGTGCGCGCGCGCGCACACACACACAATGAGGGAGGGGGGAAGAGACAGACAGAGCAGTGAGTGAGCATGCATGAGTGTGGTGAGAGAGGGAGGGTTTATAGGGTGTGTCCCACAACCACACCCCACCATACATATTCACCCACACCCCACCTTGCACTGCTGTACACACAGACCCGCATACACACACACGGCCTCCCTCCCCACCACAGCCTCCCACAAACCCCATACCACACCCACGCCCCATATATCCACACACACCCACATACTCCCTCACCCTACAACCACCCCCTCACACCTATCCATACTCCCCCACAGATGCACAGCCCCCCAGAAATCTATATCCATCCCCCACAACACACAAGAGTAAGACTTCATTCTAAGCTGTTGTGCAATCACCTCTGTGTACACTACACAAACATGTAAATCAAGACAAAAATATTTTTAAAATCAAATTAATGAATGTTTTAGATATTCATTTTTTAGAATAAAATTCTGGTTCTGAGATGGCAAAACCTCTTGCTGAAAGAAGTATTTCTGGGCAAGGGGAGGGACTTCTGGTGGCAAAGGGCAGCGGTTAGTGGGCGGGACTTCCAGTCCCAAAATAGCAATCAGGGGGTGGGGCACCTGTCAAGGGGGAGGGCTACCCATGCAGCCCTTGACAGCTTGTCAAAACTCAGTAAGTGGCCCTCCACCTGAAATAATTGCCCACCTCTGCTCTAGGGGAATTTTGAGGGGTGTGGAACACAAGTTCTGCTTCTCCCTCCTGCCCCAGAATTTCTTGTGCTATCAAGTCGAGGTCCCCTACTTCAAAATCAAGCTCCTCTAAGACTGGGAGTGGGAGGCTCATGCTGGGACCTGCAATTGGGGTGGAGGAGACTGTAGTGCTGGGGTTAATTAATCACAGCTGGTGTCAGAGGGGGTGCAGCTGCAGGCACTGCTGTGAGCTTCTTGCTCCCAGTACCAGCAAAGGCCTCATGGCTGGTTGAAAAGAGGCTGTCACAACTTGGGCAGCGGGGAACTGACACCTCTCCCTCTGCTCCCTTTCGCTTCCCTCCCAGACTTGGCAGCACCGGCCTTTCCAGCATGCTTCATGTTTTTCTGTGCTGGAAAAGGTGTCCGACTGTGTGTATATGTAGGTGTCTGTGTGTGCAATTTATCTAATCTATACTGTGCTTTCCTGAACAGTGCCCAGCAATCACACTGTCAGGCAAAACACAGATTTCTTTTTCTTCAGGTAAAAAACAAAATACATTTCAAAGGAATGGATATAGGAAAAAAATGATAAGGATAAAAATACTAGTATTGATGTAAGGCTAGTATAGCTGAGCTATCAGTGTAAGCTGTATCCTATCCAATCCTTTGCAAGTAAAAGACACTCCTGAGCAAGACAGTAGCAGCTAGGAAGCAGTCAGTCATAGATTCATAGATGTTAGGGTCGGAAGGGACCTCAATAGATCATTGAGTATGACCCCCTGCATGGGCAGGAAAGAGT